ATATTATTGATTGTTTCCCCAAAATGATCTTTTTAAAAATGGTGTTGGGTCAGTTGAATATCCATATTGGAAATAAAATGAATCCTGTCCACTACCTCAAATATGAATCCCTAAGAATGAAAGGCAAAGCCATAAAGATTTTGGAGAATAATAAAGAGGGGCACCTAGGTGGCTCAGTCTGCCTTCAGCTCAGGTCATGATCCCAGAGTCATGAGACTGAGCCCCACATCGGGCTCCCTGCTCAGAGGAGAGTCTGCTTCTCCCTCTGCCTCTGCCGCTTCCCTGCCCCCTGCTCTTGCTCTCCTCAAATAAATAAGAGAAAGAAGAAAGAAAGAAAAAGAAAGAAAGAAAGCAAAAAGAATAAAGAGAATATTTTCATGATAAGAAAGATTTTTTAAACAGGCCACAAAAATCACTACTAAGAAACAAAATAGAAAACCATAAGAACATCTGTTCATCAGAAGAGTCCGTGTAGAAAGTGACAAGGAAAGGCGCAGAATGGGAGAGGAGCTAGCCATACCTTGCTTTATTGCACGTGGCAGGTACTGCGTTTTTTACAAGTTGAAGGCATGTGGAAACCCTGCATCGAGCAAGTCTGTTGCTGTCATGTCTCCACGCTCATTTTGTGTCTCTGTGTCACATTTTGATGTTTGGTGTTAACAGAAAGTTAACCATATGGATTTCAAACTTTTCCATGATTATTATATTCATTCTGATGATCCGTGATCAGTGATGATGACTCACTGAAAGCTCAGATGATGGTTAGCCTCCGTTAGCAATAAATCATTTTTACATGAAGGTATGTACTATTTTTTTTTAAGACATTGCACATTTAACAGACTACTGTGTGGTATAAGATTTTTTTTTTTTTTTTTTTTTTTTTTTATTTGAGACAGAGAGAATGAGAGACAGAGAGCATGAGAGGGAGGAGGGTCAGAGGGAGAAGCAGACTCCCTGCCGAGCAGGGAGCCCGATGCGGGACTCGATCCCGGGACTCCAGGATCATGACCTGAGCTGAAGGCAGTCGCTTAACCAACTGAGCCACCCAGGCGCCCCTACTGTGTGGTATAAACATAGCTTGTGTGTGCACTGGGAAACTAGAAAATTCATTTGACTTGCTGTATTGGGATAGTCGTTCTATTGTTGTGGAACTGGGCCCGCAGTATCTCTAACGAATGCTTGTAACACATGCATCTTCTATGTTGAGAGGCTATAGCTTTATATATATGCATAATGAATAAATTATTAAATTAATTATTAAATATATAGAATTTAATATTTATAATACTTACTATAAGGGTGACAACCCAGTAGAAAACAGTAGACCAAACACTGAAACAGTGCACATTACAAATGAGGATTCCAAATGATCATTTGCAAAGATGTTCAGACTCGTTATTAGTCCCGGAAATGAAATTTAGACCCCAAAGACATGGCACTACCTCCCCACCAGAATCGCTGAAATGAAAAAGACTGGCCGTGCGCAATGCGGCACGATCCGGAGCAGTTGGGCTCTCACACGTTGCTGATGGGCGTGCCCGCCGGGGGGTATCCATACTGTGAAGCACTGCCACCCACCAGGAAAGAGCCAGAAATGTCTCTCCATGTGGACATAGGAAGATGTCAGGCTACATTGTTAGGTCTCAAATAACTATGCATGGGATGGCCCCACGTATCTAAGACAGACAGGAGGCGATGCAAAGCAATTGCATTGGGGCGGCCATAAAAAATCTGGCAGCAACAGCTATTAAATTTCTAAATCAAGTATGTATTAATATTATGTATGTTTTAATTCTCTGTGCCTATAAATTATATAGCCTAGGCCTTGATAATCTCTCATTCTGTGAATGTGGGAAATTAGTTTTACCCATGAAAAGTGGTGTTCTTGGGGTTACATTTTTATTTTTTATTTATTTTTATTTTTTAATTTTTTTTTTAAAGATTTTATTTATTTATTTGCGAGAGAGAATGAGAGACAGAGAGGACAAGAGGGAGGAGGGTCAGAAGGAGAAGTAGACTCCCCGCTGAGCAGGGAGCCCGGTGCGGACTCGATCCCGGGACTCCAGGATCATGACTTGAGCCGAAGGCAGTTGCTTAACTGAGCCACCCAGGCGCCTGGGGTTACATTTTTAAAAGTGTTTTGTTCAGTTTGTGTTGTAGTGAGCAAATACAGACGAAGAAGTGCAGACACAAGGAATGAGAGATCTGAGGGGCGCCTGGGTGACTCAGTCGTTAAGTGTCCGTCTGCCTTCAGCTCAGGTCGTGGTCCCAGGGTCCTGAGATCGAGCCCCGCGTCGGGCTCCCTGCTTGGCGGGAAGCCTGCTTCTCCCTCTCCCCCTGCTTGTGTTCCTGCTCTCGCTGTGTCTCTCTGTGTCAAATAAATAAATAAAATCTTAAAAAAAAAGGACCGAGAGAGCTGAATGGAGTCAAAGAGGATACAGGGCCCAGAAGGCGGGCAGAGAGAGAGAGAAAGTGCTGGATTCACAGTTGCAAGGAATCTTGCGGTGGTGGAGAGTGTGCAGACCGCTTTATTTCCCCCACATTCATCTGAACAGTGCATGGAGACTGAGCACTACTTCTGCACTTCTCTGCAGGAAGGGAAGGTTCTGATGGTCTGATTGTCCCTCAGCCCAGCAAACCACCATGCTCTGCCGGGCGTGCCCAGCATCCCTCCTGCCTGCTAGTAGTAAGTGCCAGACAAGCTTGAGGAGCACGGGACCTTTGTCTTTCGGTGAAAACATGCTACCACCGGAGCTGTGCTCAGTGAATCCTTGTCCAATGAGAGGTGTGGCTGGGCTCTGTGAGATCTCTAACTCACAGGGGACATCGAGGCAGGGAGGAGGCATGCTTAAATACAAGAGTGTTTGAAGTGCAGGAGTCAGTGATTGCAAATCCATATGGTTAAGCCTAGCTCATTTCTTTTTGTTTGTTTGTTTTAAAGATTTATTTACTTATTTTAGAGAGAGAGAGAACGTGAGCATGAGCATGGGGTGAGGAAGGGCAGAGGGAGAGAAGCTCAGTGGGGAGTCCGATGCAGGGCTTGATCTCAAAACCCTGAGATCATGACCTGAGCTGAAGTCAAGAGTTGGACGCTTAACTGAGCCACCCAAGCCTAGCTCATTTCTTAACCTGCTTGCTTATTCATTCTTCCATTCTTTCATTTAATCATTCGTTTCGGCTCATGCTTAGTGAGTCCTGCTCTGTACTCCCAGATGGTATTGGGCTTTTAAGTCACGGCACAGGGAAAGAATCTCTGTGTTGGTATTGCTCGATGTGTCAGGGAATTCATTTGTTATCCCTGTTCATAGATTCCATTTGCCTCTCTGTTATTTCCTGGTAGCTCAGAGTGTGTGTGTGTGTGTGTGTGTGTGTGTGTCCATTTGCCTCTCTGTTATTTCCTGGTAGCTCAGAGTGTGTGTGTGTGTGTGTCCATTTGCCTCTCTGTTATTTCCTGGTAGCTCAGAGTGTGTGTGTGTGTGTATGTGTGTGTGTGTCCATTTGCCTCTCTGTTATTTCCTGGTAGCTCAGTGTGTGTGTGTGTGTGTGTCCATTTGCCTCTCTGTTATTTCCTGGTAGCTCAGTGTGTGTGTGTGTGTGTGTGTGTCCATTTGCCTCTCTGTTATTTCCTGGTAGCTCATTGTGCGTGTGTGTGTGTGTGTGTGTGTCCATTTGCCTCTCTGTTATTTCCTGGTAGCTCAGTGTGTGTGTATGTGTGTGTGTGTCCATTTGCCTCTCTTTTATTTCCTGGTAGCTCAGAGTGTGTGTGTGTGTGTGTCCATTTGCCTCTCTGTTATTTCCTGGTAGCTCAGAGTGTGTGTGTGTGTGTGTGTGTGTCCATTTGCCTCTCTTATTTCCTGGTAGCTCAGAGTGTGTGTGTGTGTGTGTGTGTGTGTGTGTCCATTTGCCTCTCTGTTATTTCCTGGTAGCTCAGTGTGTGTGTGTGTGTGTCCATTTGCCTCTCTGTTATTTCCTGGTAGCTCAGTGTGTGTGTGTGTGTGTGTGTGTGTCCATTTGCCTCTCTGTTATTTCCTGGTAGCTCAGTGTGCGTGTGTGTGTGTGTGTGTGTGTCCATTTGCCTCTCTGTTATTTCCTGGTAGCTCAGTGTGTGTGTGTCCATTTGCCTCTCTGTTATTTCCTGGTAGCTCAGTGTGTGTGTATGTGTGTGTGTGTCCATTTGCCTCTCTTATTTCCTGGTAGCTCAGAGTGTGTGTGTGTGTGTGTCTGTGTGTGTGTCCCTTTGCCTCTCTGTTATTTCCTGGTAGCTCAGAGTGTGTGTGTGTGTGTGTGTGTGTGTGTCCATTTGCCTCTCTGTTATTTCCTGGTAGCTCAGTGTGTGTGTGTGTGTGTGTGTCCATTTGCCTCTCTGTTATTTCCTGGTAGCTCAGAGTGTGTGTGTGTGTGTGTGTCCATTTGCCTCTCTGTTATTTCCTGGTAGCTCAGAGTGTGTGTGTGTGTGTGTGTGTCCATTTGCCTCTCTTATTTCCTGGTAGCTCAGAGTGTGTGTGTGTGTGTGTGTGTCCATTTGCCTCTCTGTTATTTCCTGGTAGCTCAGAGTGTGTGTGTGTGTGTGTGTGTGTGTGTCCATTTGCCTCTCTGTTATTTCCTGGTAGCTCAGTGTGTGTGTGTGTGTGTGTGTCCATTTGCCTCTCTGTTATTTCCTGGTAGCTCAGTGTGTGTGTGTGTGTGTGTGTCCATTTGCCTCTCTGTTATTTCCTGGTAGCTCAGAGTGTGTGTGTGTGTGTGTCCATTTGCCTCTCTTTTATTTCCTGGTAGCTCAGAGTGTGTGTGTGTGTGTGTGTCCATTTGCCTCTCTGTTATTGCCTGGTAGCTCAGTGTGTGTGTATGCGTGTGTGTCCATTTGCCTCTCTTTTATTTCCTGGTAGCTCAGAGTGTGTGTGTGTGTGTGTGTGTGTGTTATGCCTTACAGAACATTTCTCAGGAACTAGAATCTTGATAAGCCGTCAAACACAATCGCTCATCTGAACCTCCTTTATTTGTAGGTTGGACCACTGGACCATGTCACGTGTTTTGTGGACAGTATGGGTGTTGGGGGCTGTAACCAACCTCTCCAAGGAAGAGGCCCCTGATCAGGCTTCTTCTCTGTCCTGTGACCCCACTGGTATCTGCGACGGCCACTCCAAATCTTTAAGCTCCATCCCGGCAGGGCTCACGGCAGCTGCGAGAAGCCTCGACCTCTCCAACAACGAGATCGCCTCCATCAGCGCCACTGACCTGCGGGGCTGTGTGAACCTCAAGGCTCTGAAGCTGGCGTCTAATGGAATTACCACGATAGAGGAAGAATCTTTTGCTTCCCTGCAGAGTCTCGAACACTTGGACTTATCCTATAATCTCTTATCTAACTTATCATCTTCCTGGTTCAGGCCCCTTTCTTCCCTGAAGTTCTTAAACTTACTGGGAAATCTTTACAAATCACTCGGGGAAACACCTCTTTTTTCTCAGCTCACAAATCTGCGAATTCTGAAAGTAGGAAATATTGACCACTTCACTGAGCTTCAGGTAAAGGATTTTGCTGGACTCACTTTTCTTGAGGAACTTGAGATTGAAGCTTCAAGTCTCCAGAGGTACGAGCCAAAGAGTTTGAAGTCAATTCAGAACATCAGCCACTTGGCTCTTCGTATGAAGCAGCCTGTTTTACTGCTGGAGATTTTTGTAGATCTTTCAAGTTCCTTGAAACATTTAGAACTGAGAGACACTCATTTGAACACTTTCCGGTTTTCAGAAGCATCCATCAGTGAAACAAATACACTGATTAGAAAGTGGACATTTAGAAATGTGAAAGTCACCGATGGAAGTTTTAGCGAAATTGTGAAACTGTTGAATTATGTTTCTGGAGTGTCAGAAGTCGAGTTTGAGGACTGTACCCTGGATGGGCTTGGTGATTTTGACGTACCCGGTAGTGACAAAATTAAAAGTATAGGTGGGATAGAGATATTAACAGTACGGAGGTTGTATATTCCATATTTTTACTCATTTTACGATATGAGTAGTATCTATTCACTTACAGTAGAAGTTAAAAGAATCACAGTAGAAAGCAGTAAGGTTTTTCTGGTTCCTTGTTCACTTTCACAACATCTAAAATCACTAGAATATCTGGATCTCAGTGACAATTTAATGCTTGAGGAATACTTGAGAAACTCAGCCTGTGAGCATGCCTGGCCCCTCCTGCAAACCTTAATTTTAAGGCAAAATCGTTTGAAATCATTAGAAAAAACCGGAGAAACTTTGCTTACTCTGAAAAACCTGACTAACCTTGATATTAGTAAGAATAATTATGTTTCTATGCCTGAAACTTGTCAGTGGCCAGAGAAGTTGAAATACCTGAACTTATCCAACACGAGAATACACAGTGTCACCCCTTGCATCCCCTGGACACTGGAAATTTTAGATATTAGCAATAACAATCTCGATTCATTTTCCCTGATTTTGCCACAACTCAAAGAACTTTATATTTCCGAAAATAAGTTGAAGACTCTACCGGATGCCTCCTTCTTACCCATGTTACGCGTCATGAGAATCAGCAGAAATATAATAAGTACTTTCTCGAAGGAGCAGCTTGAATCTTTTCACACACTGGAGGCCCTGGACGCCGGCGGTAACCATCTCCTTTGCTCCTGTGAATTCCTGTCGTTCACTCAGGAGCAGCGAGCGCTGGTCCAGATCCTGATCGACTGGCCAGAGAACTACCGGTGTGACTCTCCGTTCTCTGTGCGCGGCCGGCGGGTTCGGGACGCGCATCTCCCGGCCTCTGAATGCCACCGGGCAGCTCTGGTGTCTGCCGTGGGCTCTGTCCTCCTCCTGCTACTTCTGCTCACGGGGGTCCTGTGCCACCGCTGCCACGGGCTGTGGTACCTGAAGATGATGTGGGCCTGGCTCCAGGCCAAAAGGAAGCCCAGGAAAGCGCCCCCCAGGGACCTCTGCTACGATGCCTTTGTGTCTTACAGTGAGCGCGATGCCTACTGGGTGGAGACCGTGATGGTCCAGGAGCTGGAGCACTTCGACCCTCCCTTCAGGCTGTGTCTTCATAAGCGGGACTTCATCCCTGGCAAATGGATCATTGACAATATCATCGACTCCATCGAGAAGAGCCACAAGACCATCTTCGTGCTGTCTGAAAACTTCGTGAAGAGCGAGTGGTGCAAGTATGAGCTGGACTTCTCCCATTTTCGCCTCTTTGATGAGAACAACGATGCTGCCATTCTCATTCTTCTGGAGCCCATTGAGAAAAAGGCCATCCCCCAGCGTTTCTGTAAGCTGCGGAAGATAATGAACACCAAGACCTACCTGGAGTGGCCCACAGATGAAACTCAGCAGGAGGGGTTTTGGTTAAATTTGAGAACAGCAATAAAGTCCTAGATTCCTTCATGAAAGGCCAGTCTGGGTCTGGTGGAGGTCTTTATGTCACTAGTGGTAGCTAAGTCCATTCTGACACAGTTCTATGCAAACTACACAAATGCACTGTCCTTTGCAGACTTGCTTACTAAAACCACTAAAATTGTTCATATTTTGTTTTATAAAAACTACCAGATTGAAAATAAAAGGTTCTTGGTTTTTCTTTATCCTGTGAGATAATCATGATCTAAGTGCATTATTGACATCAGAATTATCTGTAGCAATTGGCTTAGTTCATTAGGAAATAGCACAAATGAACAGATCTCATATGAATTCTTGGTCAGTTTTCTGCAAGGACTCTTATCCCCGTAGATGGCATTCTCTACCCCACTTAGCTGTCTCCTCTCTGTGTGACTCCTCTCAAGAACAACAAGGGAAAAGGTTGGGGAACTCAGCCAAAGTTGTTGCTATTCTGAGAAAAAAAGTGCCTTGAATCCCCATTAAACTTTACAGGATGCAAAATACCTAGGTGGTGTTTTTACGTGACCTGGGTCTGAGTGTTGGATAGGTTTCTCCAGTCCCAGTCACTTGAGAGAGGATATAGAACACACTAAACAGTAAATTATATCTTTCCATGAAAATGAAACTAATGAAGTACAGCTGACCCTTAAACAACGCAGGAGTTAGGGGCAGTGACATACCCTCTCCCCGCTGTGCACTCGGAAATTTGTGTATATAACTTTTGACTTCCCAAAACTAACTACTAGTAGTTTACGGTCGACCAGAACCCCTGCCGATAACATAAACAGCCGATTAACACACATTTTGTGTATGTATTATATATGGTATTCTTACAGTACAGTCAGCTAGAAAAAAGAAAACGTTATTAAGAAAATCATAAATCGGGCGCCTGGGCGGCTCAGTCGTTAAGCGTCTGCCTTCGGCTCAGGTCATGATTCCAGGGTCCTGGGATCGAGCCCCGCATCGGGCTCCCTGCTCGGCGGGAAGCCTGCTTCTCCTTCTCCCACTCCCCCTGCTTGTGTTCCTTCTCTCGCTGTGTCTGTCTCTGTCAAATAAATAAAATCTTAAAAAAAAAAAAAAAAAAGAAAATCCTAAATCTGCGCATAAATGGACCCACGCAGTTCAAACCAGTGCTGTTCAAGGGTCAAGTGTAAATAAAATAACTCAGTTTAGAGGACTTCCAAAGAAGCTCCCACATCCCTAACTCTGATCTTCCTTCAGCCTTCCTTCAGCATTCTGTGTGAAGTTCTGATGAGTTTCTAGTTACTCCATCTTCTAATCCATTTCCCTGCCGCATCTTGCTTTTTTTTTTCTTCTGAAAGTATTATTTCTCATTCTCAAAAAGCCTCTTTTCCCCCCTCTGAACATTTACAAAAGCACATGTGAGCTAAATAGATTTTTAAACAAGTATATACCTAGTGATTCCTCAAAATGACCCCCAAAATAGTTGATACACAATAATTTAAAGATAGATATTACGTCCACATGTTAATTTTTTTAAAAGATTTTATTTTTATTTTTGCGAGAGAATGAGCATGAGCCGGGGGGGGGTGGGGGCGGGGGCGGGTAGCCGAGGGAGAAGGAGACTCCGCTGAGCAGGGAGCCCGATGTAGGACTCGATCCCAGGACCATGGGATCATGACCTGAGCCGAAGGCAGACGCTTAACCGTCTGAGCCACCCAGGAGCCCTCCACATGTTAATTTTTATAATCTAGAATTCTACATTACGTTTAATGCAATTAATTAAGCTAAGGGCTATTTACTGATTCAATGGAAATTTCTTCTTAAACTGGGAACCACTTGTGAAAGGAAGCAAACTTCCTCTGACCTGCTCTGTTCTTAGCCAGAACTGGGTTTGTGTGGTTGATTGGGCTCTGGAGTCAGAAAAACCTGGGTCAGTAGATGTGTATCTTTGGGCAAGTCCCTTAACTGACCCCAAATATTTTTCTGCCCTTAGAATAGGAACACTAGTATCTACATCATGTAGGTCTGAATGTACAGTAGTTTAGGTAAACTACTGAGCGCGTGCCCCTTGGTTACCATCCCCTCTGGAAGGTCGAGGGGGGCAAGAGGACCAAGTCTTTGAGAATGGGAACCATGGGTGCTAGCGTGGGGTGACAGCAGTGACTATAGTAGATGTTAGCTACTATTTTTTTTCCAAGAAGTGGTTTGTCTTCTTATAGATTAGTTTGTAAATGTATATTTTTCTGTTACGGGTACTAGCAGTGATACAAGGGACCCTGTTTTTTGCAGAAAAATACTCCAGAGAAATAAGTTCATTAAGGGCAGAGCAGTTTTAGTCCTGGGGAAACTCACAGAGTCTTTCTTCTCTCTCGTACCAACTCTTGGGAAAGTGTTATGGAGGAGATAGTAGCCAGCCTAAGCAATAAAATGGACAAGTTCAGGAGAAGGTAGGGTGTTACAAAAACCAAAGACAATAATGGACTTCTTGCTTTATTTCTTTATGTCTTACATTTAAGCACGATGTTAATTATCATGAGAACCAGACAAATTTAACATAGACTTGGTCTGTAGATTTATTTCCAATAATTTAAATAGCAAGAGAAAGAGCTCCATAGTTAGTTGGTAGATTGAAAGTAATGTTATAAAAATAATCTTTATTTTTCTCATCGCAGATGTTAAACATGTTCACCATAGAAATTTTGGAAAAGAGATAGGAGCATATAAAGAAAGTAAGAATCCACTCTTATCCCTTCACCTTGGGAGAACCACTGGTAACTGTGTAGTGTATATAGCTCTGCATAATTTTTTCAATGTATATGAACATATTACCTTACAAAATTGGGATTAGATTTTAAATACCTTAACTATAAAGAAAATAGCATCTTTGTTTTGTGTGTGTGAGGTTGTTTAGTGATTATCCAAAATTTCTGAACTCTGAGGGTCATTCAGAATTCCACATAGATACATACTGGTCTAATTGCCCAGAGTTCTAAAGGGTTCTAAAGGCTACCTTCCCATCCAAGTACTAACCAGGCTACCCTCATGCAGCTGTCCATAAAAGATAAATGGGAGGGGCGGCCCAGGTGGCTCAGTCGGTTAAGCATCAAACTCTCGATTTTGGCTCAGGTCATGGTCTCAGGGTCGTGAGATTGAGCTCCACGTTGAGCTCCTCGCTTGGGTCGAAGTCTGCTTGAGATTCTCTCTCTTCCTCTCCCTCTGCCCCTCGCCCCCTGCTCGCTCTCTCTCTTAAAAAAAAAAGATAAATAGGAAAATACATCAGAGGTCAATTTAAGGGCTCCTTCTTTTATAGAAGAAAAAACTTTTAGTTAATGCTTTATCCAACAGTGAAGACTTTTGTCAGTAGACTATAAGCTCAGGAATCTTGTTTTATCTCCTTAATCCTTGCACATGCCCGGTATATAATATGTATCGAACTATTGAAGTATTTGTTGAGTAGAGAAATAAACCAGAGTTAAATCTAATAATCTGGATGGTGAACCAGTCATAATACTGAAGTACTGAGCAGTTTCAAGAAGGAATATTACCAACAGGTAAAAATCTTAGCATGAGTTATCTTCATTACAACCGTGATAAGACTTTGAAGAGCATTAAGTTAAGTACGTTGCCTAGGTTTTTGACAATAGGTGTGTTTCCTTTCTACTTCATGTAAGTGTAATGTCTCCAGGTATGCAGAATAGATGTCTGATATTAGGTATACAGTGGTGGCTGTTTTAACTACTCACCACCAGTTTAAAACCAAATACATTTTGGGAGGCCAATGTATTTATTGCTCTTGAGTTAATTCTTTCTGACCGTTCTTTCCTATTCCATTACTTTTATCCCTTCCTGCTGGATTAATTCATTCTTTCAACAAATAATTATTGAGTGCCTACTAGATGCCAGGCTACTCCATGTGCTGGAGGTACAGCAGGGAACTAGATCCCTAAAATTCTCTGCCTTCACGGAGGGGAAACACACAATAAAAAAATAAATGTATCATAATGAGTTCAGGTATTGATAAGCGCTATGAAGAGAATAAAACCAGAGCACAATGGAAGAGAGTGGTTCTCCTCCCCTTTAGTGCAGCCCTATATGGGGCAGGTGCACTTGGCAGGCCCAGGGAACGCAGCGCACCTCCAGCCCGGCCTGTTAAATGGGCTGTGGCACCTAATGCTAGACTTTTCCAGAATAACACCGTCTATGCCGAAGGGCTTTCTAGTCAAAGCCGCCATGTGGTGACAAGCACATAGAGCAGAGAAGACCATATCCTGAAGCTGTAGATTACATAACAACTCTGCCTACTTCGTTGAAGATGTTGAACTCACCAGAAGATATTAGCTATCACTAAAGGTTGTACGTAAAGTACATTATCAGCCAAATTAGAGGTTGGGTGTCCATGGTGGGTTGTAACAAATGTGTTGCATGGATTAGAAAATGATCACAATGGGAAAGATGCAAAGTATGCTGTATTTGTTTATGTTGTTCAAAATTAAAATCAAACACAGAGACCAGATTTGAAAACTCCCTGAGTGGACAAAACCAGTTTAGTCTTTTTTTTTTTTTTAAGATTTTACTTATTCATTTGAGAGAGATAGAGAGAGCATAAGCCAGTGGGGAGAGGCAGAGGAGAAGCAGACTCCCGGAGTGGGGAGTCCAACACGGGGCTCGATCCCAGAACCCCAGGACTATGACCCAAAGGCAGATGCTTAACCAACTGAGCCACCTAGGTGCCCCCAAACCAGTTTAGTCTTACAAGCAAAGCTTGATTTAACTTATTTTGCAAGACAAGTAAGGCTAACTTGATCCGGGTACTTCTTGCTTAGGCCTCTGAAAATCATAAGCAAGACTTAAATTGTTTTCCCAAAATTGATATGAGGTGATCACTAACCAATTCCCTTTCATTTAAGAGAATTCCAGTATTATAACCAATCACTGTGAAGAATACACAGTCCCTGCGTCTGCACTATATAAGCTGTTGCCTTAACATACACCTCTGAGCTTCATTCTGTGTTTTTGTCTGAGTGCTCTTGGTTTGCAAACGATCTTTCTGATGTGTGCACAATAAACTTTTACTGATTACTACTTTACTGATTCATTGGTTTTACTTCTGTTTTTTCCTGAACTTTTGACATTCAGCTTCTCTTTTAAATTCTTTCCACATAGACAGATTGCCTTTTGTAGGGCCCTGAGTTTTATTCAGTTTTCTAAACTCTGGGGCTCACCTCTGAAGTTAAAAAAAGATTATCAATAATAAATGTAGGACCAAGGATTTAAAAATATTTCAACATGCAAGACGTTGCTTCCAGAGTAGGTCTGCTGTACTATTCCAGCCCTGGTGAGTAATTAATGCCTTGAACTATTCCAATCACCACGGGTTGCCAGGCCACCAAATAACGAAGCCAATCAAGGATTTGTCCATACAGAAAGTGTGTGCGCTCCCAGCTAAATCTCAGTTAAGGAGGTTGCTCTCTATGCAGTCAAGTAGCAGAAATATTCAATCTCATTTGCAAATATAATAAGCAATGCAATGAGTAGTTATTTCCTTTCTTATTAATTCTATGTGCTCATTTAAAATCCCCTTCTGTGATTTTTATAGCATTTGGTTATCATTGTTATTTACACTACACCGAATTTGCAAAAGTAAATCAAAACAGTTTACAATAAAATCCCAGACTATGAAGCAAGAACTAAAGGTGAGGGTCACTACTAAGAGTGGGAAAGGGGAAATGGTCACACTGGAAAACCAAGGATCATGGAAGCTTTTGTAAGTGAGCCAAGGCAGCCTTGGGCTTTCCTGTGATTGGCTCATCAGAGGGAGCGCATTGTGTATTTCAAAGAAAAACATCACAGATAAGATATACTTTTTCCTGATTTCGCTGATAAGTTGTGCTAAGGGGACATAATTAATACATAATATCTCTGATAGCAATGTTATATACATAAAGGCAAATATTCCCCAAGTAGCTTTTTTTTTTACTGAGTCTCAATAAAAAGAGCACATGTAATACTCAAAAGTTTATTCTCACAAGACTATATAGAGTAACCCATTGTCCATTGTTATTTATGTGATCGTTTAAGATGATGTTCAGGATTATATTATCATCAGTTTTATAACAAAGATGCATATATTTTCGTTTCATAAGGTATTAACCAAAAGTGGTTCTGGACTCGGTCTCCTCATATTAGAAGGGAACTTCAGGGAGAGTGCGTGAAAAGGAGGGAGGGAGAAGCATCACACATCCATCAGCAGCCGTTAGCGGTGGTTGTGCTTGAGTTGCACTGACTCCCTGAGAAAGCTCAGGCCTGTACATGGAGCTGGGGGCCGCAGAGGTGTTCTCTGTTGCCACCCCCTAAGACACAGAGACCCATGGTGCTGCTTCCTCGCTGCCCTAAGGGCAAATCTTTCCTTGATCTGCAGTTCTCAGGGATGGGGGTTACTGCTGCCAACAGCCATGGTTACACCTGTATATTTAGGGTTGGTGAAGAGTAGGGGGAGCAGGGAACAAGGGAGGTGTCTCCTTTAGCACTGTACAATGTAGCTGACCGGGACACAGAATGTATAGAAAGGCTGGCTGTCTCTTAGGAGAAGAGAGAGTACTTGGGAGGTTGACGCCAACCTCTCAATGTTTTCTGCATAAGGTCGGGATATGTTTTAATCCCATTTACTACCCGCCCCCCAAGAGATATATTATGGTCTTGGGCCAGTGGGGTTGAGGACTGTCTTTGTTAATCAGCTCTGGATGGGACCATTGAGGCTTCCTGTGGCCTCAGTTGGAGAACATTGGTGTCTATAAAAATCCCGATTGTTGCCATAAGCTGTCTGTAGGTCCTCATTTTCTTTCACTATTATTATCCCTAGGGTTTAGCCCAAGACGAGATGAGGCATGCCAAGGAATTTAAAAGGCCAAAATACAGGGGGTAAAGAAATCCTCTCTCTGGAAATAATAAAATTTAGTACACCTTAAAATTTTTTTTCTCTACCCTAGTTCACATTTGGGGCTTTTAAAATTTCAATTCCAGGGGCACCTGGGTGGCTCAGTCGATTAAGCATCTGTCTTTGGCTCAGGTCATGACCCGGGGGTCCTGGGATCGAGCCCCACCTTGAGCTCCCTGCTCAGCAAGGAGTTTGCTTCTCTCTCTCCCTCTGCTGCTCCCCCTTCAAACCTCCGCTATGCTCGCTCTCTCGCAAATAAATAAATAATAAAATCTTTTAAAAAATTTCATTTCTATTCTAGTCTATATGTTTGTCTACCCATCCACTCATCCCATCCACTGTCATCCACCTATTTGCCTGCGTACCTATCCATCCATCCATCCATCATCTATTTATAGGTCTATCATCCATCTCTCTAATCCTGCCATATATTTACCTATCTCTTGCAACATCCCATTACATTTCCACTAAAGTGCTTATAGTGGAATATATGGAATATGAAGAGTAGAATGTATCTTTTTTGGCATTTAAGTTCCTAGCCAGAGTAGTAACATGGGCCCAGGGGAGAAAAGAGACCAGGAAGTCGTTTTGAAATAAATGGCTAGGGAAAACAAATATTTCTGCTAAAACTGTAATGAAGAAAATGAAAATACAGATTGAAGAATGCATTACCAGGAACATTTAAGGTAATACTTCAAACTTTTTTTTAAAAAAAGGATACGGGTTACTGATCATCCTCTTCAAATCAACCTTCTCTTTGCAGTAAGGGCAAGTCTGCTTTTTACCAACTATACACCAACCTCGGATGCAGAATTCGTGAAAGCTTAGGCATCTTGTTAGGGAATTTTCTAGATATTAAAGGGCAAGGTCTGCTTCCTGATGGCATAATGGAAATGACCCCATCTGCGGGGAGGAAGTCGAGGGTGAGAGTGGCTGTCAGTCGTGACTTGACTGTACATCACTATCTAAGGAAGATTCTGCAGGACGATGGAACCCCCAAGGACTGGGAGCTTGCAGTCAGAGCTGCCATAGCTTTAGGACCCTGAAGAGTCTATACTGCTCTTTGGCTTTACTTGTTCTTCTTGCTTCACTTGAGCCTCCCAAGATTTAAAGTAGATAAAGAATATGAAAGTGCTTTTTTACAGTAATATTTTATGTAAATGTATCATGGCATTTCTCTGCCTCGCTGACTGTGCTCTTCTTAGGCGTTCACCATAGCACTTCCCTGTTCTACTTTCTGTGCATTATTCCTTACCTACTATGTAATCAGACTTGTCTGAGGCACTTAGACAAGCTTCAGTTATCTGTAGTCATAAACCGCAAACTTAACGCATATTTCTGTTAGCTTCATAAGTCCTACCTCAAGTTTTTTTTTTTATTACTGATGAGTCACTTACTTTTAATAGACTATAAACCTAATAAAATTCTGAAACTCTAGGCATTGACAGATTCATTTGTATATCTCGCCTTGTCTGCAGAGTTTGACCCTTTGCCCCTAAAGCTGAGAGCGCATCCCATGTTTTCCCACAGCAGCAGGGGAATGCTCCTATTAGAGCTCATATCACATTGTATCATGACATTCCATGCGCATACACGTCTCTTCTGGACCACCGGCTACCTGTGGGACCACGTCTCATTCTTTTCTGTCCTCAGCACCTTAAGCAGTGCCGAAAGGCCTATTTATTAAATAAATATTTGAGTGAATCACTCAAAACCAATTACTTTTGCAAATATATTTTCTCGGGTTCCACATTGTAGATTTGAGCAAAGTGATTAACAGTAATGAGATCCATCCTATTGATCCATCCTACTGGTTTATTTATTTCTACAGTTGTTGATCCCAGTGTGGCTCTCTGGATCCAGATCACACGATTTTTCTGACTAGCCTGCTGTCACCCATGTGAACAGCAATGATGTGGAAATTTCCTCCCTAACAAATGGAGGACTGTGAAGTGTAGACAAGTCAAGGCCATGTATACAGGTCCTCAATATAGATCTTTCTGCAACTAAGAGTTTCCACTGTTTTATGTTCTTGGAATTGGGTCATTTTTGCAATAGGCTTGAATTAACATAAAGCGGTGTATTATAGCAAAGATTTTAAACCCAAAGCCCTTACAGCCCTTTATTCAAAAGGGCTGGAGTACAGCCCCATCTTCTAGATAGGTATAGAGGTCAGGGGTCATGGAGACAGCATTGAAATGTCCACCTCCTCTTTAATATTCTCTGTCTCATCTTCAAAATCTCGATGCTGAAAAGTCTCCAAGGTGGCAGAATTGCTGCAAAGCAATATTCAGATTCCTTCCACTGCTCCACCTTGATAATAGGAGTCATGTTTTCCCACTCCTTGCTCATATGATTCATGCTAAAGTGGGCCATTAATAATGCTCCCTGCAAAGCAAATTTAAGGGTGACGACATTTTAGATTACATATGCACACATGTACAACAATCCCTAAGCGCTTTTAAAGGTGGAAAGAGAAATTATTTCCACTTGCAAATGGCAGAAAGGGCTCTAGTTCAACATTTGAAAAGTAAATCACGTTTAAAACTAGGGCCAGATTTGGAAAATTTCTTCCAAAGAAGGATAGTTTTTTGGGAAAGGTATCACACTGAGAGGCCACCATAGAATTCCATGTGGGATACCTTTGTGTTTCTTATCTTAAAATAGTAAGGCTTAAATGCTGGAGTGAGGGGTCCTATTACATTTCAGATGCATTTAGTCCATTTTTTACCTCTCAGGATTGAATAAATGCAATCTGTCCAAATTAAACCAAATCATAGGCACTGCATGTCTAGAGTATTACTGAGTTAGGTGGGCTTCAGAGGCGAAAGACAGGTGGCTTAACCGCCTCATAATGCCAGAACTTTGAACTGAGTGTAGAGCAACATTATCAAATTGATATTGACTATAAAATAAAGATAAATGACACCTTCTTTCCCCTGTATTTACAAAAGAATTAAAATACTGATTGTCCGCCAACCCAAACATGACTTTGGTCTCCAGAGTTATATGCTGGGGCAGCATGGGCTGCTTGGCTTGGGGCTCATGATCCCAGTATCTTTCCACATATTGAGGTCTTCCTCCACAGTTACTGGAATTCCCAAAGAATGCTAGTTTCCAGGCCCAGGCTTGTCTGGTTCCTAACACCTAAAG